AGTACTTCTGGATCCAACTGAGTTATTTCTGGGATTCTCAGTTAGTACTATTTCACATGATGACAGAATGGTTGAATCTATTTCCCCTCGCAACACAACTCTTACCTTAGCCAATCCTACGAGTATTCATGGAACTACCCATTGTGATTTATACTCTAACCTGCTTCACTATGATAACTCTGAGTTTCTTATTCTTTCGTTCAATGCCCGCTCTCTGTCCAATAAAATTATTCATCTTAAAACTCTTTTATTCCTTGTAAATCCAACCATTGTACTTATTACGGAAACGTGGTGCAATTCATCTATATCCGATCACTCCTTGAATGTAGATAACTACGTTTTCTTTAGAACCGATAAATGTTATGGATTAGGAGGCGGTACAATTATCTATGTCCGTTCAGACCTTCAAGCGTGCGAATTCGAGGATAAATCTCTTGATGCTATAGACGACTCCAATTGGGTTACTGTAAACTGTAGATCTCAAAATTATCTACTGGTGGGATGCATATACAGACCATCTCATGCGGATACTAAGTTTGACAGATTACTAACAAACATCTCCATTGTTTCGCGCCAACCACATAGTTTTGAAATCATCGGAGGTGATTTTATTCTACCACAAATTACATGGGGTTCGACTCCGGTGCTCAGTCGAAATAACAAGCTAGTTGAAACACTAGAAATTTGTGGATGGGTCCAACAGGTCCGAGAACCGAATAGTGGGAATAATATACTTGATTTGTTGTCTACAATCAATATGAACTCTATCTCAGTGCATACCACTCATGAGTTTTTTATGAGTGATCATAGAGTTGTATTGAGTATTATTCACTCTTTAAACGCCATACAATTGAACTCTAAAGCTTCAATGATGTACCAGAGCAGACATTTTGATCAACAAACATGGAAACGGACTGGAACTCTCATTCAATGTTTACCATGGGAAACTTATTTTACCACAAATAATGTTGACATTGCGCTTTCCAATCTATACCACAACCTGATATATTGTCTTGACTGCACTGCTCCAGTTATTGGCCGTGTGGCTTATAATGCTAATAGGGGCCAAAATACTTTTAAAAGAAAGCTGAGGAAATTAAAATGCCGCTACTACGAGCAGAATGATGTGTATGCACTTCAGAGTATACTTAAATTAATCAACAGAAATGCTTCATCTAAACGTAAGTATTTTATGAATATAGAAAATAAAGCTCTACGTAGTAAAAGCCCAGAATTATCAATACTTCGGCTTTTTAAATCCCGTGTAAAGTCAAATTCCCTTGGCACGACTAAATTCTTCATAGTTAACGGAAGCATTGTTAACGACCCGAATACTATATGCGAACAATTCAGCAAGCACTTCTCGCAGTGCTACAAAACTGGAACTGAAAACTCCATCATTACATTTCCAATGCTGACATCCAGACATCTGTCGAAAATTGATTTTACACCCTCCAACATCAAGCAGGCCATAGCTGCCCTGAAAAAGTCTTATGATGGTGGACCTGACGGGATACCTTCATCATTTGTGAAATATGGAAGTAGAGAATTTCCACTATTTTGTTTGAAACTTTTCAATCTATCTATGGAATATGGGACCTATCCATCTGTATGGAAAACATCCCTTATCACCCCTAGATTCAAAACAGGACCACGTAGTGATATTATTAACTATAGGCCAATTAATTTGACATCCGTGCTCTCAAGAACCATGGAAAAAATCATCCACAAACAGCTACTATCATTTTTACTTTCGGCTAGTCTGATCAGCCCATCCCAACACGGGTTTATGACTAAACGCTCATGTTTCACATCGCACCTGGAGTTTTTTGATCAAATTACCCAGAAAAGAGATGTTGGTCAGTCAGTGATAATTCTTTACTTCGATTTTAGTAAGGCTTTCGACAGTGTCTCACACAAACTTCTTCTTTTAAAACTCTCTTCATTTGGCATACAGAATCCCCTTTTATCTTGGCTCAAATCTTTTTTAGAAGAACGTAGCCAAATCGTTCGCTTTGGATCTTGCTACTCTAAACCTGTGAATGTAACCAGTGGGGTTATACAAGGAAGTGTGGTTGGTCCATTACTCTTTCTCCTTTTTATCAATGATGTGTGTTCCCTCTTTCAGTATGGTAAGCCTTTTCTTTTTGCTGATGACCTGAAAGTAGTTTATTCATTCTCTTCTCCCATGAAAGAAAGCTATATTTCAGCGGTAATCCAAGAGGAAATAAACAAGTTGTACGAATGGACTATTTCGTGGAATATGCCACTTAATGTTGACAAAAGTGGATTTATTCACATTGGTCGCTGTCTTAACTTAAATCTGACTGTACAGACACATACACTCAAACCTCTTAACACTGTTCGTGACCTGGGTTTAAGATATAGCAACAGTCTGAACTTTTCTGAACACATTATATCTCAAGTATCCAAAGCTAGAAAGCTCATCGGATTGATAATGCTAAACTTCAATAATATCGAATCGAGATTGTTACTATACAGAAAATGTATCTTACCCATTCTTGAATATGGTATTTTAGTTTACAGTAATTGTAGACATACTGATCTGATTAGAATTGAAGGTGTTCAAAGAAGGTTCACTAAAGCTGTTCTGCGGTATTCCGATAACAAAGACTATTACCAAAGATGTCAACAACTCAACTTAGAGCCTCTTTGGATCAGACGTATCAAATTAAATCTTGTCTTTATCTACCGGCTTATTAACGGTATTTCCTACTCTTCGGTATCCACCCCTTCATACCTTATGATATCATCCCACAATCTACGCAATAAGGAGAATATTCTAGCGATTCCAAGAACCCACACAAACTTACGTCAGAATTTTTTCCTTATTCGCTACTCAACCATGTGGAACAGACTGCCAGTGAACCTCCGTTGCAGTGAAACTACAACCCGGTTCAAAAGTCTCCTTGACGATTTTCTTTCCGAAAGTGGATTATGTCACCTATTGAATATCAATGTATTCAATAATGATTTATACAAACAAGGTCCGTCATCCATTTAATTGCTTGAAAAGCAAAATAAAACCTTTAAATCTTTCCACATCTATTTTATTTTATTTCTATTTATCTTAATATATGAAATCTGATTATGTTCGTGTTTATCATTATTTCCGTTATTAATATCATTATTAGTTCCCTGACACATTAGATATTCTTTTTGTATCTTCTTATCCTTCTAAACATATTTAACTCCAGATTGTCCTTTAAAATCAATTTTGACTTTCATAGCATCAATCTTAATTATTATTGCACAAATATTTATACTAATATCCGGTTTCACTCTGTATACTATTACATAAATCTAAATGTATTCATCCGAGTGCTTTAACGGATTTTTATTTTATTTTTGCAATTGCTGGTTTCCTTCTGAGGTTGATATTTATTACACAATTATTATTCTTATCATGGATCAAAACTTTTCACTAGGTGTTCACTTCTTTTCACTCCATTCTTTCCCTCTAAATAAATATTCTTAAGATTACGAAGTTTGTAATTAAAACAATAACTTGTGTTACACTTAAATTAAATTCTCAGACCCGTTTTATCTTCACTATGCATATATGACTCATACATATTGATATTTTATTATCCTTTTCATTTAATTGTAACTTTCATAGCATCACTCTAAACTATAACTGCACAAACATTTATTCTAGCGTCATATCTTACTGCAATTATAAGTTATTTTTTCTTAATTATTTTTTGTTACTAATTTAACGATACACACATAGTCGTTTATTCTTGTTCTGTGTTCGTAAACACGCCTATTAGACTGTTTGCGCATTTCACGTCTCCTTTATTTCTATTCCCTTATTTTCTGCATTTCCTTCTTTAGACTCAATTCAATATTCTTCTCAATTGCACAGACCCGATTTATTATTATTAATATTCTACTATTATTGCTCAAAATTTTTTTTAAATGGCCAGTAGAATGCTGACATTATTGAAAATTGTGTATTATTGCATTTTTTGAAGAAACCCGAAATGGTTTCTTCACAACACTTATGTACCCATAAGATGTTTGTGAATAATAATAATAATAATAAAGATGCCACAAGTATTTGAAGTTTGATAACACCTTAACCAGTAACAAATTCTATAATCAGAACGTACCCACCCAGTGAAGTCAGAAGCTAACATGTTCGAAGATATATTTGTTACGTTATCAATATATCGGGAAGTGACTGATCTAAACTGGCTGCGAATTTTGAAGAAGTTGAGCACACCGTTCAAATTCGTAATCTGGTGAGGATGAGTGATCTAGCGCCTTCAGCAAGGTGAATCCATTAAAACTAATGTGACCACCATCAAATGTCGAAGACTTATAGAGCTATTGATTTTGGGGATTTTTTCCCGCTAAAACGTCTTTATTTTTACCACTATAGTAAGTATGCTACATCGGCATTTTATTATGAATTACTTGATTAAATTGAGACATGTGTACCGAAACTAGCATCAGACCACTTATACTCCAAAAGAATAAGAATAATCTGGAACATAACAAATGATGAACCACGAAATCACTTCGAGGACTCAAGTTCAATCATTCTGACAGACGTCTAAAATCACTGGATCCCTACTCATTAGAGTACAGATGACTCATGGGCCACTGTCGAACGGCTCATAGGACGATAAAAACTCCTGAGCATTCTCTAAAGCACCTACTTAAGCTCTTTCCCAACACAAACGTTAAGACCAAAGCTCAGAAATTAAAGGTACGACCCACAACATCTTAGTGTAGACAGATCTTTTTCTCTTTACGATTAGCTAGATCCTCGAATTCCCTAGCGATTTAGATGGTCCAGTGAACTTCCTAGTAGTCCTTCTAGAGGAAAGTTGACGTATTCTTTAGGACACAGTAGAATATACCATTCTGATTTACCAATGCTTCTCTTTTGTTCACTTGAAATGCTTAGGTCTGTGCCTTGAAGCATCGAGGATTCATTACTCTTGGACGCGGAAGCTCGTTAAGTGAAATCTCCCTCCACTCAGTTCATAACCGTTCAGACTATTTAACCGGCTACTTTGAGTATTGTGTTACAGTAAGTGCTATTTCAGATCATACATCAGTTAGCTGACCTTTGCTAACGTTTACAGTAAACATTTGCTCAAAACGTCGATGTATCTATGGGAGCTTCAACTATTGTTTTTGTCAAGATTTCGAGATTTTTAAAGATCACTAATTCGTCTACTCAGGCAGAGGATTTATGCCTTAAGACATACAGGAATTTCTGTAATCCCGTCTGTAGACGGTTTTTTAAGTATTTCTGATACTCTGATTAGATGGTTTGCATAAGGTGGAAAATGACATAGAGTTGTTTTTTTTGGAGCTGCAGTCTATTGATTACAACTAGGATGAAATACCGTTCACCCTCCATACCATACCTTCTTTGAATAAGAGTCCTCATTCTTATCTTCAACTTTAACATAAACCCCGAAGTTTTTCAGTGGTGGTTCCGTGTTCAGATATGATCACCCCTAGCATGGTTATCGTATCCGGTGGTTAGATGCGTTCGATGACATGGCTCAGTACCGACATCATTGGCGCAGATGCTTTTACTCTACCTTCTTTGAGATACTAGGTTTCAAACCATCTTGTGCTTTTTTACTTAACGAATTCATCTTTTCTGGGGTTGTTTTATTTGTTTTATAATCTTTTCTGCTGTTCTTACTACTACTCTGGGATTCGTTTTGACGTTTCCATCTAGCTGTTATTGTGATGTAGCAACTTAACCCGTTTGACATATAGGCCAACTTCCGCGGTGTGTGTAACTTACGACTAGGACCCAGAAGAGATGTTTTCACGAAATCGTTATGTAACTTAATAGAGATTACATCTACCATAATACTCCTATCTTCTTCTGCAGCTTGATCTTTTCCTTCAGTGAAAAATTGGTGGACTTGCTCTGAAACAGTGGCTAGAAGAGTATTCTCTTGTAATCGATGTAGAGTAGTAGCACCGAATATCTTTTTCATCAAACTAGTAACAATACTAGTAAGGCTAAGTGGGTGGTATTTATTAACCAAATGTTTGTCCCCAGTTTGTACACCAGTCACTTGGAAGTTTAGATTCTTGCCGTGATAAGCCAAACAGGATTGCCAGCGGTTTTGCAATTATTTCAGACAAGACATAGTTTTCGTCATGAAGTATTTATCACCTCAAGGACTTCATTCAAAAATCCTAGATATAAAAATTCAGACTATCGGCGACTTGATAAATTTGTCTAGTGATTTAGCTTTTCCAATTTTTTTTCCCACTCCATTCAGCACCATATGTCAAGCCAGTATATAGAAATTGGCTTGAGCATTCAGGATACTTTAGGTTCCCAATCTTATCAACTGACTTGTTTCTGCACAAAGCAATCAGTTAAGCATATGGCAACAATCTTCAAAATCTCGATGTCGCTATGTAGAAGGAAAAGTCTGCGGAGAATGAGTTATAGGCTCTTTCCTCGACCCCACCTTATTTCAAAAGTGAATAATCCTATGGTCTGTGTCACTTTATAATCCCAGTCAACGCTGCTTTGTTTCACATTAAATTATCGTCTGCCTCCTTGCTCATCTGGCAGATCAACCGACTTCAATTGTTTCCCCACACCAAATGTAATACAGTCTCAAATTTAATTCTCCTAACTTGCTCAAATTATCCTAAATTTTGGTGTTGTTTGTTTTCACAGCCACTAGGTGGTTATCGAAGTATTCATACACCACTCACTTTTAATTCTTTTATTCCAATCAGCTAATAAGTTGAATTCGACGAAACGTCTAACAATCAGTATCATATTGCCTCCATATCTTCTCTTGGATGTTGGAAACCTATGGCACCAAATGTCACAAAATCTGGGTCTAGGGTATCATGTCGGATACATCCAACCACATAATATCAAAACACAGTGAACCCACTGTTAAACTTTTCAGATAAGTTGATACATTGTAATTTGATCAGCAGAATTAGATCAGCACTAGGGACTAGAAGGACGTGACATTAGTCACTATCCAGAAATCAATTAGTATATATGCAATAAATGAATATAAAACTGAAAGTTCTTTTTTCATAAAGTCGAGGTAAGCAGTCAGCTGACATTGTCAACGTAGACCCTAGCGTATATACCCAACCGTTGTTGCTACCTTGACGTGGTGGTCGGGCTTGCCTATCGTGATGAAGCAGCCGAGCTATACTGACTGGAACAACCGTTCCTCAAGGTCCTACCATGTCAGACAGGTCGGTTGAAGAGCGGTAAGACTAAAAGCAACAAACCCAAGGTCCGAAGGCGAAGTCATACTGCTGACTGTACAGAGGTGTGACAGCAGTATGGTGTTTCCTTCGGACAACCAGCATGACAGCGATGCTGCCTTCCCACAAGGAGGGGTTGGGTTAGCAAAGGTCGACCCTAAAAATGCACACCTCACCTTACCTCACGGATTTCCGTCTCCGGCGGTAAGGCCCTTTGAAGAACAGAGCTAACACGTTAAAAACCTCCCACGAAAAGGCCGTGCGCGACCGGCCTCAAGCAGTTGTCCCTTCGGCACTGCGGTCACGCTCTCAGGTCACTGAGACCGCCTCTAATCCAATTTCCTTTTCAGGTACCTCCAGAAGAACCCTTCCACGGTGTGGGCAACCGGGAAGTGATAACCGCCCTCATACCTCTAACAGCACTCAAGACCACTGTATTCATAATCAACCTCCATCTTCAATTCCTATTATTCCTCCTACATCGACTTTCAACTCTAAACTTCCTCCTTCGACTTCCTCCTCAAGTGTCACCATAGCCAACGATTCTAGTGCTCAAAACTCTGTCCCAGGTCTACTGAAACCTCGCTCCAAACTACACATTGGAGCCTTCAACGTACGCACCCTATGTCAAATCGGTCAGCAGCTTCCTTGGCTAAAACCCTAGAGTCTCTTTCCATTGATGTATGCTGTGTCTCCGAAACACGCATACAGGATTCCAGTGTGGTCATTCACTTGACCTCACCTCGGCAAAACGGAGAGCCAACGAGATACACCCTACGTGTATCTGGTGACCCGATGGCCAGTTCTCGTGGACTGGCAGGTGTAGGCATAGCACTAAGCATGAGGGCGGAACAAGCACTGCTAGAGTGGATCCCCGTCAACAGTCGTCTATGTGCTGTTCGGCTAAACGGCTCCGTAAGAACTCGGAAGGATAGGGACACACGTCGTTGCCTTTTCGTCGTTTCTGCCTACGCTCCCACTGACTGCAGCTCAGATGAAGTGAAAGATGAATTTTACAGAAAGCTTCTGAACTTCTTCAGAAAGCTAAACGCTCAGACATAGTACTCGTAGCAGGTGACTTTAATGCTCAGATAGGTAGTTTAAACCAAACAGAAAGGCATTTAGGTGGATATTTTAGTATTCCGGCACAGCGAACAGATAATGGTGATCGTCTGCTGCAACTGTGCTCAGACAATCGTTTATTTTTAGCAAACACAAATTTTAAGCATAAGGAGAGACATCGTCTAACATGGCGACCCCCTACACCAAACCAACGATGGACTCAAATAGACCATATTGCCATCAGTCATCGTTGGAGAGGGTCGGTAGAAGATTGTCGCTCATTCTGGAGTACCTGCTTGGACTCCGACCATGCCCTAATACGGGCACGCATCTGCTTGCGCCTCACTGGACGCAAAAAAGCCACATTAAAAAGACCCATTAGAACTGAGTTGAGTAACGAGAAAACCAAAAGTAGGTTCCAGGAACAACTGAGGTCACAATTAGGTAGTTCTGAAGACGAGGCTGACCCAGATGTTGCTTGGAAAGCATACAAACAGCTGTGGAAACAGCAGTGACATCTATTAGTGACTTAAACCACAGAGTTACAAAGAACCAGTGGATTTCTTCAAGGTCTATCACACTGATGGATTCTCGCAAACTCGTCCCATCAGGTTCCGAACATGATGAAGAGCGACAACAAATCAGATCTAGGTTAAGAAAAAGTCTAAGGAACGACCGTGAGCAGTGGTGGGCAACGAAAGCAAAAGAGATGGAAAAGGCGGCGACTATAGGGAACACAAGACAGCTTTACAGACTAATAAAAGAAACTGGAATTAATAAGTCAAGTGTAAGTGAGATTATTTCGGAAAAAGACGACACTCTCATCTGCTCCCAGTCCAGACGTTTAGAACGATGGGCGGAACATTTAGAGAACAGTTCAGCTGGCCTTCAGCTACTCTACAACTACCCTCCATTCCCAGACAGTGTGAATGGAACATTGAAGTAGGTCCCCCAACTCTTGCTGAAGTTCAAAAGGCTATAGTTAATCTGAAACGAGGAAGGGCAGCTGGTCCAGATGGACTGGCTCCAGAGGTCTTTAAGGATGGTGGTCCGATTTTAGCTAAGATCTGGGAGTTAGACGTTATTCCATCTGACTGGTCGCAATCACTTATCGTCCCAATATATAAGAAAGGGTCAAAATCATCCTGTGACAACCACAGAGGGATTAGTTTAACTAATATAATATCTAATTATCGGACGCCTAACTAAGACTCGTGAACTGCAAACACGAGAGAATCAAGCTGGCTTCAGACCTGGTCGTGGCTGCATCGACCACATATTCACCATTCGTCAGGTTCTAGAACACAGGCATACTTATCGGCGTCCGACAATGGTGGTCTTTCTTGACTTAAAAGCAGCATTTGACTCTGTAGACCGCGAGATTCTGTGGCAGTGTCTGTCATTGAAAGGCGTACCTCAGAAGTACATAAACCTTGTGAAGGCTCTTTACTCGAACACTACTAGTCGAGTCAGAGCTTATGGCGAACTGTCATCTGATTTTGCAACCTCAAGTGGTGTCCGTCAAGGCTGTCCACTTTCTTCATTTTTGTTTAACTTCATCATAGATCTACTGATGGAAATAACTTTCTCGTCGACTGAGTTCTCGGGTATTGATCTCCATCCAGGAGGTCCACTTATCGACTTAGAATACGCAGATGACATAGTCCTGTTTGGTGAAGACGCTGACAAAATGCAGAGTCTTCTGGTAGCACTGAGCAGCAATGCCAAAATGTTTAGAATGCGCTTCTCTCCCTCTAAATGCAAGTTGTTGCTTCAGGACTGGTCTGCGTCAACACCTGAACTAAGGATAGGGAGTGAAGTAGTCGAACGCGTTGACAACTTCACTTATCTTGGAGGTCTGATCAGCCGTAATGGGTTAGTGTCTGACGAAATCTCAGCACGGATTCGAAAAGCTCGATTGGCTTTTGCCAACTTACGTCACCTTTGGGGAAGGCGAGATATCCGTCTATCAATAAAAGGACGAGTATACTGCGCTGCAGTCCGTTCTGTTTTAATTTACGGCAGCGAAACATGGCCATTAAGAGTAGAAGACACTCGTAAGCTACTAGTATTTGACCACAGATACCTTAGAAATATTGCTTGCGTCTGCTGGGATCACCGGGTAAGTAATAGTGAGGTTGGACGCAGGGTATTAGGAAATGATGGTAAATCAGTTGATGAGGTTATGAATCTTCATCGACTGAGATGGTTGGGCCACGTTTTACGTATGCCTGAACACCGATTACCACGACGTGCAATGCTATCCGGTATTGGAGATGGTTGGAAGAAAGTTAGGGGCGGCCAAACCAAAACGTGGCATCAGTGCTTGAAGACACTAACTTCTAGTCTTAGTCATGTTAGTAGATGCAGACTACTTGGTTGAGGTCCGCGTGACTATCGTAACTAATGGTTGGAGACTCTTGGTGACATGGCTCAGAATCGATCACAATGGCGTCGGTGTATACACTCCCTGTCTTCCCTTAAACTAAGAGATTAAAATCGCTTCATACCTTTCTTTCTACGAACCAATTTTTTCTTCTTGTACTATATCTCTATATGCAATCTTTCTCTTATATATTACCACCTTTGACCTAACCACTGCTATGAATCCGGTGTTCATCTTGTTGTGCTGATGCGGTATGGCAACCTGGACCGATGCATATATGTGCCTGGTCCTACGTTGAAGCTGACTGATATACCCATCAGTTCAAATCCTCATGCCTTATCAGGACAGAGAAATGTGAAGTTATCTATACACAATATCAACAATGGTAAAGAAGATTAACCATAAAGAAGGTTACTCAGGATGGATGAATTTGCGAAACAAAAGGCGTTAAATGATTCTGAAACACATGATCTTAGAGGAGACAAAACGTGAATGCATCTGCGTTACTGAAACTAATTCTATGTCATTTCACTCGACGTATCGATTGTTCACGATTATCATGTGAACCCCGACTAGGTATTCTACACCTTCAAAAATGACTCATTCCAACAGTCATCGACTTCATGGACTGATATGACATTTTGGCTTCACCACTCCTAACATTCTTTCTACCTGCTTCTACGTCAGCCAACATCGCGCGTCGAGTTAAGCAGTAGCTGAAAACTGGTATATGCATATTGTTGTAAGCACTTTGGAGATTTATATTAGTTAAATCTTAGTGTTCTAATATCTCTATGTTCAAGCATATCATTCAGAAGATTTGTAAATGTTATAGTTTATGTATACGTATAATGAATGTATTATGGGTTTTTTTCTGAAAATATAAGCTGTATTCAACTAACCGGGGAACATCCTTACGATGAATACAAACTACCCTCCATCTCGTCTTCAAGTATCAAGTTTGTCATGTAAAAATAAGTGTGGCTTTTATGGGAATCCTTCATGGGATGGATACTGTTCCGTGTGCTATCGCAACGCCCATCAAAGACAATCGAATTTTCGTCAGGCTTCCTCCACTTCATCACTTTCAACTCCAAGTTCAGAAGTAGAGGTTAAGCCCAAACATAGCACTGGAAGGAATACAACTTCTATCAAAAATATATTTAAGGTTCCTCGAGGTAAGGAACGGCCATTCTGTAAAATATCTCAGATGATAACCGGGACCAAATTTCAGTGAACCCAGAAGAGTGTTTACAAGCCGAAAAAGAATTTAAAACATTTCTAAACACCCTTCGAGCCTCTGCAAATGCCGACATTTCCCGCCATGTAGGTATTCAAATTTAGTAACTGAAATTTTCACAAGGTTTCAAAGCTTATGGAACAGTTGGAGCCTATTCGAAGTTCAAATATTAATCAAGCCTCAATGATTGTGCAAGACTTTTATCACAACCTTTCAAACCGTATTTCAAATAATCCTATGTATTCAGTACGTTAGTTTCCTATTTATATTGATATATAATATACTTTATGATCTCGACTTGTTAAGTGATTAATTTTGGGTCTTTCAAGTAGATTTAGTAATTAAAGAACTCAGCTTTTAATTGCTCGATTGTAGATTCTAACCTTATTCATCTACTTTCATTTAATCAACCCAGTAGTATCATTAGCCCTTAGTGTAAATGAATATGTGCTTGGCAAATGATTTTTTTAGGGAGCAGTGGCTTTGTTGGTAAAACACTTTAGTTCCAACCATCAAGTTCTAAATTTGAACCGCCGTCCACTTATTCTGTCTGGGTAACAGCAGTAATATTAAACTCCGTATAAAATGAATGGCTAGCAACTGTGTACATAAATCTCTTCTTGGTTATTGAGTTGCACTGCAAATACTACCGAGCGTTTCTATTATTGCTAAGAGTTCTCAAGATAACTTTTCGGGAAATGTGGTATCACCATAGAGGTCCTTCTAACCAGAGCCATTGAGACAGTCTTCATTTCTAACTTAGTATTCTCAGATGTATTAAGGACCACTTTGTACGACTCTCGATTCAGCCAGTTCACTTCAACTAATTTTAACAATGAAAATTCTGGCTGAAAGTTTCTGTATTGTTTTAGGGTATGAAAGACAAGGTATTCCATTATTCCAAACTGTTTTTATTATAACGCCTATCTTTATAAACAGCTCACATCTAATTCCGCCACCAATTGCGTCTAAGATACTAATTGCTGTCATATAATCCAGATTGCGATACTTCAGAAGCTTACTAGCAAATAGCAGGATTCGTTGCCTCCAGGTTGTGAGTTAGTTTAGAATGTCTCCACCTTCAGCCAAATTTTAAACATAATCATGCTCATGGTAAATAAATATTTATTGTGTTATAGTTTCTGTCTCCAAATGAATGTTGAGACTAGAGATCTGTAGCTCAATAGGATGTTTCTATTTAGCTTTATACTAAGCTGAGTGATTTAATCATGGTTAAAGAACCTAATTCCACCCAAATGGATGTCAGTGTTTTGAGCACAGTTAAATTTTGTTAAGGAATGTATTGTCTCATTAAAGAGACCTCTGCGTAAAGCACTGGGTAGATGAAACTCATTGCCAATGCCATATTGTTGTATGATTTAGGGATACAAGACCATGTCCTGGAAAAGGGTGGAAATAATTTATTATTATCACTGTGATTATTATTTTCAGATTGCGAAATGTCTATTCTCGTTAGTCAGAGGACCTTCATGGGTGATAAATCCACCATATATCTTATTTTCTATCGTTTTCCAGTTAAAATATTTCGTTTTGAAAGTAATCAATATTCCGTCGACCACAGAACCTTCGTTGTTCATTTAATTTTTGAATATTAAAGATTTCCATTGTGAAAATTAGAACAACACATATAAGCGAACAATTGTTTTCAATTAGATAGTCATCAGGCTTTACTCTAATATAAAATACCTAACCCCTTCATCCCTTCCACGGCCAGTTATAACTTAACTAACGAAAAAAAAATTTTTTTTAATTTTTATTATTACCATTATTTATTTTATTCTATTTTGTTATCATTAACCTTATTTCCACATCCATTATTTGTTTGTAATTTTCCGCCTCTTTGTATTCTTCACTATCTAATTATTTACACACATCTTATTACGTAATGATTTTAATGTTTTGTGATTACTATTCCTAGTCTATTTACCCATGTTTGACCTTCTATTTCCAACGTTTAACTATTGATAAGACTTATGTTATCGTATTTTATTATTCTGAATATTATCAGTTCACCTGTCTTCCTACTATCAACTTGTACTTTACCTATTATGTGTAGAGACTTATTCTATTTCATTGTGATCAGTGACTCATATTGCCTTGATTAGTTTACATTTTCGTATAAATATTCATGTATATTAGAGTAAAACCTGATGACTATCTAATTGAAAACATTTAATTTTTATTGGGACGTTATGAGAAAAATCTCGATACTATGTTTCAGAAATAACTTTTTATTCATTGATTTATTCCTTTTTATTAAAGAGCAATTTTAATCCATTTCAGAATTTGTCACCAAAAACCAAAGAATCTGTTTTAAACTCAGTTGAACGTTTCGTTACAACTTGGATTTATTTTTGGGCTTTTGCTTCACCTACAACGGATGATGAAGACATAGATTTGAAATTACAGGAAAAAATTCGATCATTGCATTGGGTAACTCCCTACTTGCTTGATTCACCGATTAATCCTAATTCGTCAGAGGAACTTGCCCATTTAGATCTAGCAACATTTGGTAAGAATACGTAAATTTTGTGTGCACGATTTATGATTGTTGATTAATAATAAAGTCACGAGTTTAACCTTTACACTCAGTTTTTTTCTTGGATACTCCAGGAATTATGGAAATGTGAAAATGGGTATTGTTTACGGTTAGTTTATAAATCCATATACTTACATTTACTCGTAGTGTAAACAGTGTCCGGTACACTGACACAAATAAACGGAATATGTGCTACGAATATTTAAATAGAAATCGGACATCCAGGAAATGTTCACTAATAGCGTAAACATATAATCATCTCGAAGTGGAAAGATGCAAACCGTTTACACCACCTTTTTTATGGAGACGAGTAATTTGGTAATGGTTCTCAATTAGTCAATAGAAAAAATCTGTTTTTCCATAAATATATAGGCTGTGAGCTTCGTCCCATAAAAAGAAAACTTGTGTAAGATATTTATTTTCGTGGATTGGTTGAAGTTAGACATCAACACCGTTGGATGCTGGCTCAGTGATCCAGAGGTTAAGCGTTCACGTGCGAGGCCGATAAATCCTGGGTTCGGATCCCACGGGCGGGATCGCGGATGTGCACTGCTAAGGAGTCTCATACTAGGACGAAACGGTCGTCCAGTGCTTCCAGGTTTTCCATGATGGTCTAGCTTTAATTGATTCATGAATTCAACTATTAAATTAATTATTTTCCACCAAATGTTTTTATGATCTCAATTTATGACCTAGTGCAGTGTATGATACTTATGCTGATATATATGAGTAGGATGTAGTACCCATCAGAAGTAGACAGCCTGCTAGCAGAAGATTGGATTGAAGAGAACAGGAAGGGAAATAGAGAGCAATCGTAATAACAACAGAATTGGAAGAATTATGAAGCATGCACGAGAAAGCCCAAAGAAGATGTGCAAATAATGTATTCAGTGTATGGTTTTCATATTTTAAGAAGGCACTGTAATTTAGCATTAAACAATAAATTGCTTATCCCCACCTGAGTTCTCGTTCATAAAGCTAGCACTAAATATTCATATACTATCTATGTAAACAATTTAACAATTAAATGGTGAACAGTTATTCCCCGAACTTATTATTGGATTCAATAATCACATCTAGCATAGAATGCATTAAGTTGTGAAGTTTTAGGATAAAGTAGTGATAATCTAGTCACTTAAATAGATCTCAGTAAAAGTAGAGAAATGATAATCTTAATGATCTTTGTGGAAACCTAAGAGTGAAATGTACACTTACAGTTGAATTAAATATTAATAACTTGAAATTTTACTTTTTTATGAATCACTTATTTCTCTTTTATAACAATTTATATCTGACATCAAATAGTCTGTTTGACAATTGGTACATCTTAACTATGTAACAACCAATTAAACACATCTAGTTGAATTATATAAACACATCGGACTAGTTTTATAATGAATCATATCTTTTTGATCGACGGTAATAAATAAAGTAGTATCTTGTAAATTCGTTATGGTGATTCCTTCAATTAGAATTACAACTTTTTTGTGTTTGTTGTATTTTCTCTCGTTTACACTTTTTGAAAACAATATAATGTCTTTAAGTCAATATTTATTAACACTGAGCTTTTAGTAAGTATTTAAAAAATCAATTTGAGAGATAAATGATCGTTATTGAGTATCAGCAAGACTCAAGTGTGTAACACTGTTAGCGGGACATAGACTAGATTAAAGCATGCTCAATGCATGATTGCTTTGCTGCACGCTGATTGGCTGATTCTTATCCAATCAGCAACAGTCGATAGTCGGAGAATATTCTGGAATCTTCTTATGTAAAAAACTATAAATATACTGACGTTTTTCCCTATTATGCTTCTGACTTGCTATTTGGAATATAATCTTATTCCTGTTCAACCGTGTTCTGATTTGGGGACTTGTCGAGTGAATCGGTGTCCGAGAATACTAAGCAATAGGAATAGCTGGGTCATTAACCGTAAGAAAAGCGATTTATAACAGTGGCGACGGGGAAAAAGGAAAACAAATTCAAGATGCCTATATCAGATGACCAGCTTAACCGAATACTACAACAACAGCAAGCACAACTTGATGCACAAATGCGGTTGTTGGAGACTCTGACTCAACAGCTCAACATCCACAGCTCGAGTTCACACGCTATTTCAAGTTCGTCTTGTGATGCAGTTGCTAGCAGCATCCCAGAATTCATCTATGATCCCGAAAATGGAAATACTTTTCTCACGTGGTTCAGACGTTGGGAAGATACATTTAGAACAGAATTCTGTAATCAAGACGATGCGTGGAAGACCCGATTGTTGGTACGTAAGTTGGGAAGCAACGAACATGCACGTTTTGCTGACCATATATTGCCAAAGTTACCTCGAGAGCTCAGTTTCGAGGAGACGGTATTTCAGTTGTCAGAGATATTCGGCGAGTCATCCTCGTTGTTTAGTATTCGATATCGGTGTCTAAATTTGGTGAAACGCGAAGCTGATGAATATGGTGTTCTAGCAGACATTGTCAACAGAGAATGTGAACGTTTCAAGTTACGCTCGTTGACTGATGACCAATTTAAATGCTTAATATTCATCAAAGCTCTTCAGTCACCACAAGATGCTGAGATCAGGACTAGACTTTTAGCTCGACTGGATCAAGACCCAAACGTCACACTCAGAACATTGACAGATGAGTGTAAGCGTCTACAAAGCATCAGACACGACAACGAGTTGATTGAACAGGTAAATCCTAATTTAACCTGCGGTAGTGTAAATACTATTACTAGGTTAAAAGTTCAGAAGCCGGTAACAACTCGTAACAAACCAAGGACTGCATGCTGGTTATGCGGTGATTGGCATTATGCACGATTCTGTCCGTTCAAGAAGCATAAATGTCAGGCGTGCAACAAACGTGGACATAAAGAAGGTCATTGTCCACCGAAGCGTACGTCTCAGCCTAAGAAGAAGCATAAACGTCCTCGACATGTGAAATCAGCTGAGTCGAAATCTCTTTCTCTGGTAGCTGCCTTTCAAACAAACTATGACATTCGGAGAAAATATGTTACCATCCAGATAAACGGCATATCAGCTCGTCTTCAAATTGACACGGCATCAGATATCACGTTAGTGTCTAGAGAAACGTATAACTTGCTGGGTAAACCGCCAATGAAGCCATCTAAGAAAACGGCTAAAAACGCATCAGGTGGTGTGCTAAAACTGGTTGGTGAATTACAGTGTGAATTTTCCTTCAATGGAACTAACTGTACAGGAATATGTTACCTAACAGAACGGCCGAACCTTGATCTTCTTGGTCTAGATATGTTAGACAAACTTGGAATAATGGATGTACCAATTAACAGTGTCTGTAACGTATCACGTTCATCATTGGACACCCCAGTACTTCCAAAGAAGACAGGTGATAGGTTACTAGGAAAACTGAAAAGAAAGATACGAACACATTTCGATGTCATCCGTCCTACGCCAGCTATTGAACCCCAACGAAACCTATCGATGGAGAATCAGTTTAACCGACATCATGGGGCACAAAGACGATTGTTCACGGTGGGACAAAAAGTGCTTGCTATGGACTATCGTGGGAAACATCCTACATGGACAGCTGGTCGGATCTTGAAAAAGAAGGGGAGTGTGGTTTACGAGGTGTCAGTTGGCTCGGAAGTTTGGGTACGTCATGCTAACCAATTGAAAGCAACTTCGATAGCCAGCAACAAGATTCAATATCGATTACCTCTTGATGTTCTGCTAGACACCTTTGAAATCAAAACGCCGGGAATAGACACGTCAGTTTCTGTGCAAGAAAAGAGTGATACTTCTCTATTGCCTAGACGATGGACTAATCGAAAGCACAGGCCAGTCACTCGGTTGCAGTTGGACCCTAGCACCAGATCCTACGAATCTGCTCAGAGGGGAGGTGTTAGCGGGACATAGACTAGATTAAAGCATGCTCAATGCATGATTGCTTTGCTGCACGCTGATTGGCTGATTCTTATCCAATCAGCAACAGTCGATAGTCGGAGAATATTCTGGAATCTTCTTATGTAAAAACTATAAATATACTGACGTTTTTCCCTATTATGCTTCTGACTTGCTATTTGGAATATAATCTTATTCCTGTTCAACCGTGTTCTGATTTGGGGACTTGTCGAGTGAATCGGTGTCCGAGAATACTAAGCAATAGGAATAGCTGGGTCATTAACCGTAAGACAAGAGTTATAACAAACACATATGACCTTTAATGGAATAATTATTTAAAACTTTTGTTCTAGACTATTGTAGATCCAACATTTAAGCTACTGTATTCAATAGCACTATCTACTGCCTAACTGAAATAATCATATTTTGTTGTACTTCAACAACTTATTTGGTGCATATGCCTTACGTAGGTTCGTCATTTAAGCATCAATTTTTAATTTTGGATGAATAGGCTAGTGAACTGATCACCCACACACGTACGCACACGTACATAGAAGCGTGTTAATTACGTATATCATCTTTCTTATTCCATTGTATAAATATAACCTTTAGACAACAGTTAATATGATGAAATGATCAAAGCACGTTAATCATTTATTTCCAAGGGTTATTTACAATAACTTAATGACTTCTTAAAAGTTGAACTAACTACATACATTAATGATCTAGTTTTTCCTGAATTGCAGTTGGCAAACGTATGCATGGTGTTGTAAATCTTGACTTATCCATCTTGATGATTAGATAGTGTCGATCAGATTACTTATTTAGAAGAATAGTTCAATCTGCCCTACCTTGCCGAATTAACTAATATTCTTCTGAATATCTTCATAAATCAGTAAACAACCTACTAAGTCTAAGTCAAGATATATTTTCACACAGAAAAGGAAGTACGGTATATCATTTACAGTATAGATAGCACCAATTTTATACATATCCAATACTGTCTTCAGATTGAATAATGTAAACGGTCTAAGAAAGTTAAGATAGGAAAAGTGGTTACAAGATTGAAAGTAGTGACTTTATGGTTGATAAAACTGTCCGTACGATATTATTTACTGCTTCATTTCTCTAGGTATTTTAATATCCAATTCTTATTACGTTAACCATTATCTATGTAGTTACTTTCTAGAAATGCTTGCGTATTAAGAGACCTGTTTAAAAGCTAATTTTCAGTTAATTATAAGCAACGTGCAATCTGGCAAATAGAAACATCGCGTCAAGCTGCCACACCATATCAACGAAACAACTATCAAGATAAATATCACAGCAGTAGAATCATTACTACTAACATCAATGGTAGTAAAAAAGATTAGGCATAAAGAAGGTTGAATTTGAAAAATAAAGGTGTAAAATTATTCTAAAACACATGATCTAAGAGGGGACAAAACGTGAATGCATCTGCGTTACTGCAACCAATTCTGTGTCATATCGCTCAACGTATCCATTGTTCACAATTATCATGTGAACCCCAACTAGGTATTCTACACCTTCAAAAATGACTCATTAACAAAGTCACTGACTTCACAGATTGATACCATGTCTTGATTAATTTTGAGCGATTATATTTCTATTTCATTTTATTTGTTTTAATTTAGCTCTTATCAAAGTGAATACATTACTTGCATCTGAAGATAAATTAAATCAAATAGTTCAGTGTTGTCGTAGTGTATTCGATGCATTAAGATCTCACTATCGAAATTATGCCGCTATAACACAACAATATTTATCTAACAACAATAATAATGATAAAAGCCCAACACCTGATTATATGCCTAGTCAAAATGAAAATAACAATTCAACTCATGTACAAAATAATGTCATGAATAACTCTGTGAATATAACTAATAATGTTGTATTCGAACAAGAAGATACCGCTAATGCTGACGATTTTTTACCGACACTAATTTGGATTGTACTGAATTCAAATCCACCATTAATCTATTCTAATTTACAATTTATAATGAGATTTGCTAATCAGAATAGACTGAATAGTGGTGAAGCTGGTTATTTCTTCACGAATTTAGTAAGTGTTTCACTGTATTTTATTTATACAACTTTTTTTTCAATCCATATTGCTTCTATGTATAGTACGAAGTGAATTTTGTAATTACTAATATGACTTTAGTGAGCATATGAGTAATAAAGTTTAAAGATGAATAGGAATGTTCTGAGAAAATTTAAATTACATTTTTATATAGTCAAACCAGTGATCTCTAAATTGTTCTTTTGATATTCTACTAATTTAAACCACGAGACCTGATTGGCTCCTAACAAAGTTTTACTGTTATTAACTGTACTGAATTGCTAAATGAATGTGATACAGACTTTTTTTATGTCTTATAAACCTTTTATTGACTTTACTTCATAATAATTATTGAAGATTAAATTCACCTCAGTAACCACAGAAAAAATGAATATTAGTTAATTAGGATGAGGTTTGATTACACATGAAATGATTCCGAGTGCAGTTAGAGACAGAAAGACGGTTTCTTACTTTATGGTCCCACACATCGTGGAAGGATACTTATTCTTGAGGTAATTGAAAATGGAAATGGGTTAGAGGGTAGTCTTGATGACCTAGAAGCGTGACTGCTATGGTTAAGGAACAGTTGCTTGAGCGCGGTCATAGCCTTTTTTGTGATTAGTTTTAGGCAAGTTAGTGTCACACTTTTAAGGCCTCACTGCTGGGGATGGAAATCTGCGGGACAAAGTAAGGTGTGCTATTTTTAAGACCGATATTCTATAACGCTCTTCTGTTGTGGAGAGGCAGTATCGTTTCAGTCAGTCAGTCAGTCAGTAACAACGTAGAACTTCGTACGTACGTACATCAGTTCGAGTTGCCACACCACATTAGCACAGAGATGCAGTTGTCGATTCAAATCCCGTAGTGGTAGAGGTAGTAAGAGTATAAGCAGTAATCGGGAAGATTAGGGTTTGGAGATGTTATTTAAAGAGTATAATCCAGTGAAAGAAATTTGGAAAGAGGAAAAAAGGGACATGAAGAATTCAGAAGATTAGAATTTGGGAGAACACAGAGAGTGGATGCACCTGCGCCATTGCAAACGATTTTGAGCCATGTCATTCAGGGTCTCTAACCATCGGTTGCTGTCATCTCGCGGTCCCCAACCAGGTAGTCTACACCTACCAACATGACTCAGTTCACTTGTCAGTGACTTCATGGACTTGTGCCATGTTTTGGTTTGGCCGCCCCTAGCTTTCTTCCAACCTACTCCTATACCACTGAACATAGCACGTCGAGGCAGTCGGTCGTTGGGCATACGTAACACGTGTCCCAGCCATCTCAACTGATGAAGTTTCACTACGTCATCAATTGATTTGCCATCCTTACCTAGTACCCGTTTCCTAACAACTGTGTTACTTACTCGATGGTCCCATGATATATGAGCAATGTTTCGAAGACACCTATGATCAAATACTAGTAACCTACGGATATCCTCTACTCTTACCGGCCATGTTTCACTGCCATAAAGTAGGACGGAACGAACTGCTGCGCAGTAAACACGTCCTTTGGTTGATAGACGGATATCTCGCCTACGCCATAAATGACGCAAGTTGGCAAAAGCTAGTCGAGCCTTCTGTATCCGTGCTGAGATTTCGTCACACACTAAACCACAAGGGCTGATGAGACTTCCAAGATAAGTGAAGCGGTCGACACACTCAACTACTTCACTCCCTATCACTAGTTCGGGTGTCGATGTAACCCAATCCTGAAGCAACATTTTGCATTTCGAGGGAGAGAATCGCATCCCGAACATGCTTGCATTGTTGCTTAGAGTGGTCAGAAGACTCTGCATTTTGTCAGTGTCTTCACCAAATAAAACTATGTCATCAGCATATTCTAAGTCAACAAGTGAACCTCCCGGTAGAAGTTCAACCCCTGTAAATTTAGATGAGGAGAGTGTTATCTCTAAAAGTACGTCGACAAAGTTGAACAAGAATGGGGAGAGTGGACAGCCCTGACGAACACCACTTGAGGTAATCAATTCTGATGACAGTTCGCCATAAGCTCTCACTCTACCAGTTGTGTTCGAGTAGAGAGCCTTTATAAGGTTAATGTACTTCTTTGGTACTCCTTTCAGTGACAAACACTGCCATAGAACCTCACGATCAACGAGTCGAATGCCGCCTTAAGGTCGAGAAATACTACCATTGTGGGGCGTCTGAATGTGTGTCTGTGTTCTAGAACCTGACGTAGTGTGAATATCTGATCTATACAACCACGTCCAGGTCGAAAACCAGCCTGGTTTTCTCTAGTCTGCTCTTCACGAGCTTTAGTTAGGCGTCGAAGTATTATTGAAGCTAATATTTTAGACACTATATTAGTCAAACTGATTCCTCTGTGATTGTCACAAGAGGACTTTTGTCCTTTCTTAAAAACTGGCACAATCAGTGATTGAGACCAGTCAGATGGGATTACGTCCAGTTCCCAAATTCTACCTAAGACCTCAGTTAATCTCATTGCTAATACTGGACCACCATCCTTAAAAATCTCAGGAGTAAACCTGTCAGGGCCTGCTGCTCTCCCTCGTTTCAGATTTCCTATGGCTTTTTCAACTTCGTAAAGGGACGGAGGACCTACATTAACTTGCCATTCAGGTTGACTGGAGATCGTGGGAAACCGAAGTGTGGCTGAAGGCCAGTTGAACTGATCCCTAAAGTGTTCTGCCCATCGATCCAATCTCCTGGATTGAGAATGAATAATATGTCCATCTTTCTCTGAGATTGTTTCGCTAACGGTCGGGTTCCTAATTCCGGTTTCCTTAACGAGTCTGAACAATTGTCTGCTATTACCTATTGCCGCTGCCTTTTCCATCTCTCTTGCTTTCGCTACCCACCACTGTTCGCGATCATTGCGTAGACTTCTTGTCAGCTTGCGCTTAAGCTGACTCCGCTCTTCATTATGTTCAGAGCCAGGTGGAATGAGTTTCCGAGCATCTATCAGTGCGATAGATGCTGCTGAGATCCAGTGTTGCTCCCTAACCTTCTGGTTTACCTTACTAGCAGATATCACTGCTGTTTCCACAGCTTTTCGGATATCATTCCATGCTGCATCGGGGTGGGCATCACATACATGGCTGCCTAACTGTTTTCCTAGTTGTTCCTGAAATATACTCTTAGCTTGACTATCATTAAGTAGGCCCTAAGAGGTTTCCTTGCAGGGTCTTTCCTACGTCCAGTAAGACGCAAGCAAATACGCGCTCGCACTAGAGCATGATCTGAATCTAGGCATGTGCTCCAGAATGAGCGACAGTCTTCTATCGAGCCCCTCCATCGGTGGCTGATAGCGATGTGATCTATTTGGGTCCAACGTTGGGACGAATTAGGGGGTCGCCATGTTAAAAGATGTTTTTCCTTATGCTTAAAGTTAGTATTTGCAAGGAACAGGCGGTTATCTGAGCATAGCTGCAACAGACGGTCGCCATTATCTGTTCTTTGAGCCACGACACCATAAGATCCACCTAGGTGTCTTTCCTTATCGCTTAGTTTACCTACTTGAGCATTAAAGTCACCGGCCACTATTACTACATCCGAGCGCTAGCTTTTCGGAGAAGGTCCGAAAGCTTTCTGTAAAACTCATCTTTTACATCATCTGAGCTGCAGTCAGTGGGAGAATAGGCAGAGACGACGAAGAGGCAACGACGAGTGTCCCTATCTTTCCGGATTCTTACTGTTCCGTTCAGTCGGACAGCGCACAAACGACTGTCTACTGGGATCCACTCTAAGAGAGCTAGTTCTGCCCTAGGACTCAATGCTATACCTACGCCGGCGAGGCCACGGGAAGCAGAATCAGGGCTTCCAGATACACGAAGCGTAAATCGAGTCGGTTCTTTATTTTGGCATGGTGAGGTCAAATGAATGACGCTACTTGGATCCTGTATGCGCGTTTCGGAGACGCAGCACACATCGATGGCGCGAGATTCTAAAGTTTTAGCTAAGGAAGCCTGCTGTCCTATTTGGCAAAGTGTTCGTACGTTAAAAGCTCCTACGTGTAGTTTAGAGCGTGGTTTCAGGAGACCAGGAATGGCGTTCCACGTACTCGAATCGTTTGCCCTAGCGGTGCGAGGTGATAAAGAGACGTGAGGAGGGTTAGTCGGGAGGATAAGAGAGGTATTAGGAGGTGTAGGAAGGATTTGAATGTGACCACCTTGGTCTCTTGTGCTGTTACGGGTATGAGGGCTGATGTCACTTCCCGGCTGCCCACACCGTGGAAGGGTATTTCTTGAGGAACCTGAAAAGGAAATTGGATTAGTGTTGGTCTTGACGACCTGGGAGCGTGACCGCAGAGCCCAAGGGACAACTGCTTGAGGCCGGTCGCGCACGGCCTTTTTGTGGAAGGTTTTTGACGTGTTAGCTCCGTTCTTCAAGGGCCTTACCGCCGGAGACGGAAATCCGTGAGGTAAGGTGAGGTGTGCATTTTTAGGGTCGACCTTTTCTAACCCCACCCCTCCTTGTGGGAAGGCAGCATCGCTGTCATGCTGGTTGTCCGAGGGAAACACCTTACTGCTGTCACACCTCTCTACAGTCAGCAGTACGACTTCGCCCTCAGACCTTGAGTTGCTGCTTTTAGTCTTACCGTTCGCCAATCGACCTGCCTGGCATGGTAGAACCTGCAGGAACATATGTTCCAGCCAATATAGCTCGGTTGGGTCATCACGATAGGCAAGCCCGACCACCGCGTCAAGGTAGCAGCTTCGATCGGGAGTATCGTTTCAGATGCCTGTTGTCTTAGGGAAAACCTTACTACATACAAAAAGTGTATACGCGTACTCTTCCATTACCCGTGTATATATATTGGTTTAATAGCTGATGATATGAGATTGGATCTAGTCACTTTAGAGTAATATTGATTCAGTAATGATGAACAATTGTTTTCTAGCTGAAATAGCAAATATTTCTCTTTGGATTGTTATATAAAACGGTATGCTAAACTTAAATTGTCCATTATTATTACTATTTCATTGCAACTGAAAATAATTTAGTAATCATTCTACAAAGTATCAACACCACAAACATTTTATCGTTGATAATGTTATGCACTGTTTGTGATTGTAAATCAGCAAATTTGATATGGCCAATAACAATAATTCTGTTGGGGATGCTAGATTCCCAGAAATCACTTGATAGACGTTTTATTTTTGTAATTTTACTTTCGAAATTTAAATTTCTGGTTTTCGCACCAAATGTGCCCATTTCTACCTTCAGATTGTATTTCCCACTTGATAAGACCCTAAATGTCATTGATTCGTTCCCTCTTTTAATATGCTATTTTGTGACATTTCCCAAGGACCTTTTTATGCTGTATATATATGCTTGAGTTGTTTGCTCATTGTTCGTGCTTCTTGGTGCTTGTGGAATATACCTTTCCTTCCTCTGAACCGGATCTTCTCTCTCTAGTTAGCAGGGCTGAAACGATCCTTCGTTCCGTTCGCCGATTTTAGGTGATCTCGTGATTTCTTCAAAAATAGCTAATTCCATAACAGTATACCACAGCCTCCTTCTCTTTTATCCCCGGCTACTTCGTAGGACAAATCTAGTAAAGAAGAGTTACTTAATGGAGAGATCAAAGAAGATCAATTGACATTTGAATTCATTCAATTACATATCGGTTACATTCAGTGATTATTAATCAGGGCATTTTCTAACCTAAACAAGTGTCACATGAATGTGTCATACTGAATTAATCAATACAATAAAAGTGTACTACCAGTTAAATGAACAAAAATCACATTAAATTAATTCATAGAAAGAAAAGCGTACTAGAAGTCGGTTGAATGAAAACTACCCTAAATCAATATATGATCCTACAACTGATTTCGTAATACGTTGTCTTTGGGAATCGAACATCATTAACAAAGCTAAACCGCTTCCTTCAACAAATCAAACTTGTCTCTTGATCAACATTTAAGTTCACTCTATCCGAAAACCATAAAATATTTTCTTATTGAATTTCCCAAGTTTTATTCAATCAACACAAAGCTATCTAGTGAGTGCCTGACATTCTGATATCTATTTATTTATATATTTAAACACATAAACATAGGTACAAGAAGGCACCAAATAGATATGCGACACGATACTGTCCGGGTGCCCAGACTGAAACAGGTGGTTTTCTTAGGGGGCCACACTCAGAGCCTTTGACTTAAAGGTCTAATCCACAAGGCAGTGGAGCGACGTCAGGAGATACATTCCCATGGTAGCCGGTGACCAACAATTTGTTCATATGCCATTTGTTCCTTTAGGATCCTGGAGCCCATGTACACCATTGGTTTGGAATCAGGATTTTCCAACTCCCCTAGGTGGATCCTCTATATCCACCAACCCAGTTAAAGAGCCGGACATTCGCCTTTCGTCCTCTCAATTTCGTAAATAACGCCCCATCACGAGAAGGTAGTGAGTAGGACTTCCCTGTCAGTGGTTGTATGCACATGGCCATATGAGAGCATTTCGAGAGGGAGAGTTGACTCTCCCCACTCTCGGCCGTACCAGGGCATTTAGGGGCGACATTCTGAAAACAACCAACCAATGAAGCAATAACCTTCAGTTATATATTCATCAAAAAATTTAAGTTTGTGTTGTAATTTCTGGGTTTTTCGAGCATAATTCGTTTTTATCTAGAAAGTATGACATTTCATGTTGACTGTTACTGAAGTGTTACAGCTTTTATGTGTAAAATTGTTAAAAGCGAAATCTCCAAAAAACTAGCTACTTGTTATGATGAAAAGCTCTATTTAACGACATTTAAAATTATTTAGTCAATAGCTTAAATTTTACGTACGTAAACATGACTCCACTGTTTTTTAACGTGGTAATCCAGATTGATACGTTAGTTTATTTATTATGAAAGAATAAAGAAATAGAGAATAACAACAACTGATGTTACGGAAAAAAACATTATTTGTCAATTAGTTGTCTCCTGTTTTCTTTTATCATACTTTTATAGTCGTGTGCTGTTCACTTCCTGAGAAATCTAACTCATGAGTCATTAAGTTTATCCGAGGAAGATTTTAGTCGATGTATGAGGAAAGGTTTATTATTAATCAGACGTCCTGGTGAACCATTATCAGAAAACGAAAAATTATTAATGGATAATGGAATTCGTCTTGCAGATTTAGAAGATAGGTAAATGTGTATATATTTATATTTATTTTAAAACAATAAATTTTCAATTCATAATAAATGTTGTGGAATTGTTCCTGTAATTCAGCCCTTTGATATTCTTGTTAGCATAGTTGTAAAAAGTAATAATTTCTAGTGTCATTTGAACTTGGTTATCCTTATAAATAGTTATAATACATAACAAGTGGTGTGGTGATCTAGTTGTTAAAGCACTTGCCTTTCAACTAGTTATTCACATGTTCGAACCCTTCCGTATCAACTTTGGTTTGATCAGCCGAATGTCACACTGGCCTTCACACCAACAGTTTAAAGTATATAGGCAGAAAATTCGATTTTATTTTCTTAACTAGATAATGGCATCCAAATATTTTTGAAAAAGCGTTAGGTATTATGTATTACAGAAATACTATCGAATCTAAAGTAAATCCAGTAATCAAAAAGTGCTTCTTATCTCTAATCTGAATTACACAGATTTGTAGACTTAGGAAATAAAGTTTTACTACTTGTTAGTAGTCAAACTCTAAATATATAATTTGTTGGACGGAAGACTTCTAGTTACATTCGAAATCACCTTCAATAATTTTCATTGAGTTAGTTTCAAAATTAACGAGATCTTAATCACTCTTAGTACGATAAAATGTTTTTTTAGCCTTTTGTGTACCATAAAGCAGTTCAGTTTTCGTTATTGGCGAAGTTCACTAATCTCCCTCATATATTAAATTAAATAGAAGCCGTCACCTGTAAAGTCAACGAAGTCGAGATTTAAATGGTAGCCTACCAATAACAGTAAATAAGAAGACGAAAAATTAACAGCTGAAAGTAATAATATTAACAGTAGTGGAATGCAAAATATGGAAATAATTGTTCGACAGAACGAATAAAACTATCTAATGAAGTTTATGGAATAATATTAAGCTCCATATTTAGATAAAAATAAAGAAGATAATGCACATCCTTCAATGGGACTAATTTCAACCCATATCATCATCTTTATACCCAAAAGGCATAGTGGTTACTTCTTCGACCTTAACCGGACGGCTTTCACCTCGCGACATAGTTCAGTTCTAGCTAAGTAGATAATTACTTTATAAAGTGTTCCGTTGTCTTAGTCAATGACTATCTTTTTCAAACTTTCTTAGTATGATAAAATATATAATTTACAAACGACGTAGGATATAATCACAAAACGTGGAACATTCAGTTTCAGGTCACTAATACTTAGCTACTAAGTCAACTATAAAGAAGGGTTGTAATGTTGAGACATTCTAATAAGTTTGAAAATATCGTCAACTGAATATACAGACCAAATTGAACAGCGCTTATAAGATCAGGGACGAAAGTATATCAATTCATGTTACTATACCTCAAGTCAACACAGTGAGAGAGAATACTATCATATAAATTAGAGATAAATAATATCGACTGTAGTGGAAATTTATATATAAGAAATAATTATGAATAAAGAAATTAGATCGAACTTTAGAAAAAACGAAAACAAATGATATGGTTTGTGGATCTGTTACGTTCACCTTGACCTTGTGAGTGTTTACACCAGTGCTTCAACCCATTGACTTGCTATCCAAATGCTGGGTAGGTAAGCAGAATTTCACTTCCTCAAAACTATCAGAATACAAGAATGAAACAACCGATCTAATCCCGTTTGACTCAAAAATCCATACGATTAAATGTATGGATAATAGGACCGCAACGCACCACGAATAAGACATTACAGTGTGTATCATGACATGAAATCAATACATGAAATCGAAATAATAGGCCTTATGATTACTTCGTAACAATTTTAGAACAGAAAAAATATGATAACAGTAAATGAGTTAGATAGAAACAAGCCATCTGGAAAATATAAAATCTACATGAGCTAAGGGTAAGTAATTACACACTTAGTAACGCGAGTATAGGCGTTTCAAACAATAATTTTCAAAGTTTATTATTCTCTCTTATTCGTCTAATCTCAACAGGAACTAAGCATGACATTCAAATAAAGATAATTAATTCTACTGTATCAATATGATCGATTTTAAGCCATGTCACCCGAACGCATCAATAATGTTTTACAATTAGTAAAATGGCGTACGACAACAATAAGGTTACTTAATTATTGTGACGCAGAATTCATCTCTCTGTCCTATTGGCGTGTGGTAATTTGATCGATGTACACATATGCCCGGTCCCACGTTGCGTTTGACTGACTGACAGAATCGATAGTGAATAAGCATACAAACAAATTGTGCTGTAAAGAATATAAATTTTATTGAGAAAGGTTCTTAGTAGGCGTAACCATTGTTATCAGTGTTTGTTACATAAAAATAGTTAATACATTTTCAATTCAAGTAACTGTTTCATTCCAAACTGTACAAAAAAAGCTTCCACAGATTTAACGAGAAAATATGTTGATGTTTCATAATGTAGATATGAAGTTTCAGTCGCCTACTAATAATAAGTTTCCAAGTAGTTTTAATAATCATTAAAGTAAAATGTGTATTATATTACTAACTTATGTGTAATCAGTATTAGGTAAAAGTCATAAAATTAATTAAACTACATGAATTCAGTTCGCATTTATAAATAATTCTTTAGTGGAAATAATTATCATTTTCTTTTAGTAATGTTGTTACATTCAAAGTAAACCGCTATAAGGTTGATTTAATTATAACTTGTTATTTCCTTGGTAAGTGATATCAATATTATCTCAGTGATCCAAAAAAAATCGAAAGTAGATATTTCTACTCATGATTATTAATTAATAATCTATGGAGTTAATTTACAAGAAAACTATAATATTGTTAACAATCATTTCTACTTATTTTCTAATACATAAATAATACCACTTATAAGTGATAGTAATAATAATTATTATTATTACATTAAATATGTATAGGATGTCATGCAAATAAGTGCACATGTGCGCTGTGCTCGATATTCATATTTACATAACCATTTGCGTGTGTGTGTGTGTGTAATATCGATTAATAATTTAAGGTGAATAAATAATGCTGAGAGATAACAATTATTACATAGAAGATACTTGAAAATATCAATATGTTTAGAAGTAAATAATATTGGAGAATGTTGCCGAGAAAAGAGTATGAGTGAGTGAGTGAGTAGTAAGTAAACTCAAAGAAATGAGTTGGTTGTTAGGTTGAACTAGTTAAAATTAAAATATCATCCTCTTCATCTTTGTTGTTCTTTTTTTTTGTAGCCTAAATGATTTAAATACAAAATTAGAATCAGCTGAATTGGATATGAAACGATTTCATGAATATTTTCATCATGAAATAAAACAAATACGAACAAATATTCCATTGAATGTACGTATAGATGATTTAGATTCACGTCATTTAGAAAATCCACATATTTTATTATTAGGTCCATTATGTAAATCAAATCGGCAAAATGAATCATTACTAGACTGTGATTTGGATGAGGCTACAAATTGTCTATTACCAGATCCCATACAACCAACTCCATATGTTGCTGTTGATCATTGTAAAAAAAGTGTATAAATCCATATACATCTATTTACTTATTTATAAGTTTTTAAAAAAAATAATATTAACTTTTAATTTTCATTGAATTTTAATTTAAAAAGAATGTTTATATTTCTTTCGAAAGGTTTTTATGGATGTATAGTGTAAACAATCAATAAATTAGTGTATATTAAACTACTATTATTTTTATCCATCGTTTTCGATCTCATACTTATTTCAGAGAGTAATAAACAAAGATTCTAAGCTATCTATTGATAGTCTTCAATTAGGCTATAAAAAATCTTTTCAGTTTATTAAGAAACTGTTATCAGATAGGTGAGTATAAAATAGTTAAATCATTTAAAATTTAACTGTTAGGTATCAAATGATGACTCCGTTGTCAACCTAATTCTGCTTATAAGCAGTGTCACTAGACTGATTGAAACCCAAGTACATGAGTACTAAATAGCATTGAATTGAAGAAAGAATTCTTTATTTCAAGTTGCGTTAATATGAATGTGATGTTTCCGTTGCCATTACTATCGTTCTAATATGCAAAACTTCAGAATAACACCTTTAAAACCTCATAAAATATTCAGAATTATATCTAAATAAAGAATACCGATTTCTTGAAAATTATCAGACGACATTGTGATATGTTTATTCCATTCATGAATATTTGTGCAATTCCTGAACAACATAACAGAAAACGCTTAGATCTACTATAATAATTAATTATCTTAAATATGAATTCGTTCGATCATTCTGTAAGATCTAAACAAATTCGGTACATACTCATTTCTTAAATATAAGTTATTATATTCTCGACAGATTTCAAGTGGAAAAATGGACTTTCTCGTGACTATTCTCCTGCAAACTATTTAGATTCGTTACTGACCAATTGTTCATTATGCAGCTGTTACACGTAAAACTCATTGATTTGCCTAAAGCTGATGCGTAAATAATTTTAAGTAACAACGAATCCCACCTATTCGATAATCTTTTATAGAGGTTTTGTACTTTTATTTCTCTAAAAAATCCAGGGATGAAAAACATACTCAAGATATTTTGTTTTGCTATCAATTTGCGTAGCGTAAGCAATTGAATTCCAGTTCAGTGATATAAATGAATTGTGCTCCTTAAGAGGATTAAAGACCCCGATTCCGCTTTCCTGTGGGGTCATGAGTGAATATCTCTGAGGAGTCTAAAATAACTGCCTGATGATCTCTAGTTGATATCAGTTTCTGACGAAAATCATATTCAAGTTACAGAAAATGTTTCGATGAAACATTTCAGTAAATGGCAGTTTTCTTGTCAAACGATTAACGAGAATCCAAGGCGGGAAGATTGTCTCTGAATTGATACAATGTTGAATGTAAGAAACATGGCGACCTGTTGAACATCTGAGCTATCTGTACCTACCATCTAGATATTTCAACAAGTTATCTCATCTTGTATGTTTTAATACATCATTATGGCTATTAATCACATAGCCTACTCAGATGCGTTTCTGAAAAGTGTACAAGTTACAAAAGGCCCAATCAGAGACATTGTGGTTTCTGGCAATATGCAGCGCAAAGAATATGCATTATTTAGATGTCGATTGACTGGACTTCTAACTGGTGATCACTCAATATTTATCGTTAGGATCGACCAGGAAGCAAGAAACGGAAACTTGTTGAAATACTTTGTGTTGAGAATCCTACATCGTACCGAAAATATAATACTGAATAACTTACTTACGCCTGTTACTCCTAATGGAGCATAGGCCGCCGACCATCATTCTCCAACCCACTCTGTCCTGTGCCTTCTTTTCTAGTTCCATCCAATTCTTGTTCATTTCTCTCATGTCTGTCTCCATTTCCCGGCGTAATGTGTTCTTTGGTCTTCCTCTTCTCTTTTGGCCTTCAGGATTCCATATGAGGGCTTGTCTTGTGACGCAGTTGGGTGCTTTCCTCAATGTGTGTCCTATCCACTTCCAGCGCTTCTTCCTCCGCTGGGATCTGGTTTGTTCTCTCCCACAGTTCGTTGTTGCTAATAGTGTCCGGCCAACGGATCCGAAGTATTTTGCGTAGAAAACTGTTAATAAACACCTGTATTTTCTGGATGATGGCTTTCGTAGTTCTCCAGGTTTCCACCCCATACAGTAGAACTGTCTTGACATTTGTATTGCAAATCCTGACCTTGGTGTTGGTTGACAGTTGCTTTGAGTTCCAGATGTTCCTCAGTTGTAAATATGCTGCTCTTGCTTTGACGACCCGCGCCTTCACATCTGCATCAGATCCACCCTGTTCATCAATGATGCTGCCCAAATATGTAAAGGTTTTTTGCATCTTCCAAATCTTCTCCGTCAATTGTGATTGGATTGGTGCATTCTGTGTTGTATCGGAGAATCCTGCTTTTCCCTTTGTGTATATTGAGGCTGCTGCCACACTGTTCGTCTTCTCCTGCATCTGTTGTTGCGTTTGGGATAGAAGGGCCAGATCATCTGCGAAGTCCAGATCGTCCAACTGCATCCTAGATGTCCATTGTATCCCGTGCTTCCCTTCAGATGTTGACGTCTTCATGATCCAGTTGATCACCAGGAGAAAGAGAAAGGGTGAGAGTAAGCAACCTTGCCTAACACCGGTCTTTACTTCGAACGACTTTGTCAAGTGTCCTCCATGCACGATTTTGCAGTGTAATCCATCATATGAACTATGTATGATATTGACTATCTTCTGAGGCACGCCGTAGTGTCGAAGAAGTTTCCATAGTGTTGTTCTGTCCACGCTATCAAATACTGAATAAAGCTAATAATAAATAAAATAAAACTTCTCTACTGGATTTCATCTTGAATACTTCCATATTAATTTGAATTACTAATATCCTAAGGAGTGGTAATCTTTTTCAAGATGATAAAATTCACCTTCAAGTGTTCACATATTTCTCATCAAACAAAATATGTTGTGAGCCAGATCTCAGTACACTGTACAAAGAAGAAATCTCCTTCTCTGATAAGGTATATTCGATATTTTAGCTTTCTTGGCTGGATTAGATTTACTTTCATTAATATAAAACAAACAATTTACTACACTAGTGAACTTCATTTTGACAAATTTCGATAAGTCTGATAATAAATATTCTTACAAAGAATATATAAGCCAGAATAATTAGAGAGAAAAAAACAACACGCAAGCAAAACTTGTATCACATTATTTATGATACATAAAAAATTAAGATAACTTGACAAATAGGAAGTAAACGATTTTAAAAATAAAACTTTTATGTACATAGTTGTTTAATTGAATCTTTATAGCAAATAATCAAAAGCTTTTTGTAAGAGTAATAATTATCATTAGTAAGGAGGTGACATGTATAAATTCGAATTGTAGTATTTACGAGAAATAAATGCACAATGAAGATAATTATTTCAGTCGTACACTAGTAATACACATACGTGAGCACGAAACAGTGCATTAGTGATCAAAGGTTAGAGTTGGAGTAGGTTGATTAAATTCGAAAATAAAACAAGAAAGAGAGAAATTAAGATACGCAAAAGCTGAAAGGGTGAAGCTATATATATATATATATATATATATATATATATATATATATATATATATATATATATATATATATATATATTCATAAAAAGGCTTCCATCTCATGTGTCTAGATAGATATTACTCTCGACCCTGCACCCTGATGCATAAGTCTGAGAGAGTGGTAATTTAACGTCCGTAGAAAAACAATAACCATGTGTAAAGTAAATAGGTAGTTCGGATAAAAGGAAGAAGAAAAAGAATAACAACAACAATATGCACAAAAGACATTTTAAATAAAAAATGATGTGGTAAATACAAGGGAGGAGTCTATCCATTTATTGAGAAAAAAGCCATTTCACTTGTGATATGATTAAGTGTTTACCATGAAGTAGGGAATTTCATCCAGTGAAAGCAGTTTGGGTGGAGTAAATACAGTACATTGCACCAGAAAGTGTATGAAAGTCGTAATTATTATTCTTAACAAAGGAAGGAAAATTGTTAACATTCTTTTTTTTTGTAGAAGAACAAATGAGTAATTCAATGTTCGAAGAGGAAAGATATATATGTAGGGAAGCATAGCATAGATAGAATATATATATCATTTTATGGCGTTGATTACTTCATTTGTACCATGCTGACTTAATCTGAGTAAACGTGTAAATGATCAACTGTTCTTTTAGTTATTTTTTCATTTAATTTAATGGACAATTATTTAAATCAATTGATGAACTTAAGTGCCTAAGATTGTTTCTGATGATTAGCTGCCCATTTTTGAGATTGTCGAACAATTTGTTGACTTAATTCTTTCGTAGTTATAGGGACTCGAACAACCTTTACAAAAAAAGAAAGATTTTAATCAGAGGAGGAGTAGAGCCAACTGGAAAATTGAATTATGAGAAAAAAGAATTATTAAGTTGAACTATTCCAACAACTACAGATAGTTGTTGAAAAAAAGTTAAGCCTATGTTTACTGATGACTCGAGATGTTCAAATTAAATACCTATCTATACATTTTGTAATCATAAATGGTTGTACATTGTAAAATGTAACTCCACTGAAACTACCTAAAACAGTGAACTAAATGACAAAAGAAAACTGAAATGTAACAATATCTGAAGACAAAAGATGATCAAGCGTTTGTCAATATCGTTTACCAATTCTAGTATTGAATGCTAACAAAATATTTTAAGAATAGAAGGATCATCTACTTTTTGTGAGCGAAAAACAAATCACACAAAATGTATTTTCTCATTTAATTACAATACATCCTCGTTGGGAGACTTGAAAGTTTTCAGTTTGATCTCGTCTGTAGTCATGATTTCACAACTGATATGACGGGAAGAAAAGTCATTCAGTGTAGTATTTATTTCCTTTTCTCGGATGATATTCTGTATAATATACCATATTCTTGTATTCCATTGACACGAACTATGCTCAGTATATGATTGGTTATAACTCTAAGTATTTTTTATATATGTGATTTTATCCTAATTATTAATCAAAGTGTATTTTCGACTAAGGTTGTCTTCGTCGTGTTTTGAGGGTCAATAAATCTTCACTTATACCAGTGTTTTACCTTCGCGTCGTGGAGATTACAGAGGTCCCTCGTTTCGAGTATAAGTGATAAGTTCCTGACATAACAATCAGCGATGACCAGATATAAAACGTAGCATGAAAAGAGCCAAAACAATCAGCATTCAACTGACAAGTTATAACAACACTACAGAAAAGTTACAAAATCCACCATCTTTCTAATGGTTCTTCAGCTAACTAATATTAATTTGTGACCAAACTTATCCTCAAATATGCAAAAAACTGTTTTAATCCCCGTTAAAATAGAAATTCTACAAATAGATAATTTCATTTACTTCCAATTCATTTTGAGACCTAAACAACCTTAGGTTTAGTAGCCGCCATATTCGTAGCATAAGCATATGTATTTTGATAGTTTACATCACGGACTGACTTCAGTTACATAAAAATTGACAATCAGAAGGCACTGAGAAGCCTTTTCGTCTTAGTGTGGGGCTCTTCAGCAGTGCGTATACACGATGCAGCCCAGGATCAAAGTCAGGGCCTTCAGGTTTCATGGCTGGTCGGTACCAATGGTACACATCCCTAACATCAATCAGCTCGAGACATTATTCGACAATTTTCCATTCCCTGTGGTGCCTTTACATCTGCATCACATTCTCATCGTTTATCGGTGATGCTATCCAGGTATGTGAAAGTTTTCACCTTTTCCAGAGCTTCTCCATCAAGTGTGATTAGGGTTGGTGTTCCCCGTGTTGTATTTGACAATCGCGCTTTCTCCCTTGTGTATGTTGAAGCCTACTGATGCAAAAGCTGCTGATGTTACATTGGTTGTCTTCACCTGCATTTGTTGCTACGTATGATATAGAAGAGCTAAGTCACCAGCCAAGTCCAGGTCGTCTAGTTTCCTCAAAGCTGTCCATTATATGCTATGCTTCCCCCTGAGATTTGAAGGTCTTCATAATCCAGTCGACCACCAGAAGAAAGAGGAAGGAAGAGAGTAAACAACCTTATCTGACTCCGACTCTTGCTTGGAATGCGTCTGTCAGCTGTCCTCCATGCACCACTTTGCACTGTAGTCCGTCGTATGAATTCCGGATGATCTTGACGACCTTCCCAGCTACTAACTCCATAGTGTCAAAAAAGGTTCCGTAGGATATTCCTATCCACACTGTCAAACGTCTTCCCATAATCAAGGGAGTTGATGCGTAGTGACGAGTCCCATTCAACTAATCACTCAACAATGATACGTAGCACTGCGATTTGGTTTGTGCACGAACGATCCTTATGGAATTCAGCCTGTTGATCTAGAAGTTAAGCGTCTACTAAATACTTCATTCGGCTCAGCAACACTCTATTGGAAACCTTTCCTGGTACCGATAGTAGTGTGATGCATCTGTAGTTCTCACACTTACTCCGATCTCCTTTTTTTGATATATTGATAAGGCATCCTTCTTTCCAGTTTATCGACACTTGTTCTTCCTCTTAAATCTTCCTCAATAGAACGAGGAGTATATTTGCAGTTGCTTCAATGTCTGGCTTCAGAGCTTTAGCTGGTATATTGTCAGGTCCTGCTGCTTTTCCGTTCTTGATATGTCTGATGGCCATCCTGATATCTTCCGTCATTGGTGGAGTGACATCTATCGGAAGGTCTGTGTGTGCTGCTTCGATATCCGGAGGACTCAATGGAGCTAGCCTATTCAAGAATTCCTCAGAGCGATCTACCTGCCAGTTTCTCTGTTCTGGAATCTCAGTGGTTGGATTGTCTTCTTTGTCCTTGACCGGTCTCTCTAGTTTACTGTATTTCCTAGCCAGTTTCTTCGTTGTATCATATTTCCTTCTCTTGCAGCTTTTTCCGCTGTTGTTGCTCCCACGTATTTCTCCTTGTCGGCTCTAATGCTTTTCTTCACTCTCTTGTTTGCTTCTGAGTATTCAACTTGTACCTTGACTTCCTCTGTTCTTATTTGACTGATATTAATTACTGTCTTGTTCTTTCCTTCTTAAATCTTGTCCAGGGTTTCCATAGAAATCTATTCCTTATGATGATGCTTCTTGAGACCCAGAACCTACTGACACGTTGAAGTTAGTGCATCTTTGATCCCTTTCCAGTTGTCCTCCGTCGTAGTTCCTTTCAGTAGATCCTGTTGTTGAGAATTATCTCGAATCCCCTGAGTTTGTTAGTATCTTGTAGGAAGGCTGTATTGAAACTTTGTAATTCTGTTCCTCTAGTTGTCCACTGTTTCTTTAGTTTTAGTTTCATCTTGACAACTATCAAGTGGTAGTGATCTGAAGCTATGTCTGCTCATCTCCTGGTTCTCACGTCTTCCATTGACCTTCTGAATTTTTTAGTGGTGCAAATATGATCGATCTGTTCCTCTGTAGTGTGATTCAGTGACACCCATGTAACATTGTGTGTGCGTTTGTGGGGGAATACTGTACTGCCTATAACCATTTTTCGGAAGGCACATAAATGTGCAATTCTATCACTATTCACGTTTATTTTTCCCAGTCCATGTCGTCTCATGATATCTTCATATTCGGTGTTGTCCATTCCGACTTTGCTTTTAAGTCTCCCATCTGGATCATCAAGTCCTTTCTTGAGCACTTCGGTATAATCGACTGTAGCCTCTAATTAAATTGGTCTTTATCGTATTCATTACTATAATTGGTGGGTGCATAATGCTGAATAACATTCGACGTGATTCCCTCCTTCTTTGTTTTGAAGAATGCTTTGATGATCCTGGGTGTATGGCATCAGATTCCCATCCTACAAGTACTTTAAGTGCCTCTTTGGATAGCATCAGAGCAACTCCGTGAGTGTGCGGGGAATTTTCCGTATATTTTAGGCTAGACAATAATTTATTTAAAACAAATACTAGAAATCTACAAACAGGATAGAGATCACAGTGAAACCAATGATAAAAAGGAATTCACAACATTAGTGTCACAAAGTTTAGCAAGCTGTGTTTGTTTATTTTTGTCCATTGGCCAATTACATCTCACCTCCACTGGTCATACATAAAAAAGTACTGAACTACATAATGATAATGCAACAAGCTAACAGTTCTATCGGTTTCTTTTCTTTTTCAGCACAAAGAAATGTTGATATATATTATAGAACTCTATGTGTAAAAACATTGGATGGTTTATTTGTAATCTTAGCGAAAGATAATTCATACTTTCAAGAAACAGTCAGTCGCTCAATGTTCTGTAGTTCTATCATTCTCAGATATTCCAAGTTTATTTAAGAAATATACAGTATTGTAGATAACTATGAGATAAGGACTTTCGAAGTTACTTTTCTACGACTATATATATCGCATATTTGTTAAGTATTTTGGTTTTATTATTTTCGTATTACTCTTGTTCCAAGCTTTTATATGAACCGTAAATTATTGCTATGGCATTTTACATTTATAAACCAGAACCGATTATTTGTGTACCCAGTACTCCGTTTTTCTCATCAATTATGTGGTTGTTCCGTCTTAATACTGTTACTCAATTGGTCTGCTTTGTGGTCTAGTTTTGCATGTATATAAATGAGTATCTAAAATATGAAGACGATTTTTAACTAGTGATCATTGGTCTTGTATCATTCCTCTTCGTTCGAGGCTAGTTAGTCTTAGGCCGACCGTCAGATATAGAGTATCGGTCTCCCTCTCATTTGCTGTGTATTGGTTACTTAAGGTCGTCGATGCGTATCGGTAGGTTGTAAGCCATAAAATACAATTATAATCAATGTGATACCTAGCAATGATTGAACTTAATTGTTTTGAAAAATATAAGTGGAAATAAGAGAATTTCAACTTGTCTTTAGAACATATATCATTATCGGCGTACATACAATGAAACTAACGAACCAGCAAAACTGGAGTCAGGTGTAACGTTTCAAAATAAGATAAATAAGCTAGCTGATATAACATTGAGAATCTGGACTAAATGAGAATGATGTAGTATTTATCTAACGAATCGAGTATTTTGAATTGTGGCGTCGATAACGAAAGTAGACTGGTCCATTCTAAACAGCGATACAACATATCAATAATATGCACTTATTTTATTGATAATTATATTTCATGTTTTGTTTAGCTGAATAATGAAACAAAAGCTCGGTGTACAATCATTAGTTAATTCACCAGAATGCAATACTTAATATTAATAAGTCGATCAGTTCGACTGCTACATTAAAGGTGAACGCAAACAGTAGTATGACATTTTACACAAAATTACATTAAGAATAACAATATTTATTTATCCTTGCAACAACAGAATGTGCTTTAGAATATGATGTGGGATAAAGAGAGAGATAGGACGAGTGGTGTCCGGAAGCTTACAAAGTTACACGCATTCACTGTTCTACAAAATGGACAACTAACTAATCAGTAAGACATTCATTTCACTTCAATTATCAAATAAAATGACTGCCTGCTATGCAAATATTATTTATGTTCAACTTACTTCACGGATGAAATTATCCAATTTGCCAACAACAGATGATACTTCACGTAATCTCATAAGAATATCGTCAAGTCCTTGACATGATTTACGGTGAGAAGGATGTCCAAATAAACGATTCAATAAAACAATAGCCACTTTAAATAATATGATTTTACCTAATAAGATGATTTTTTGAAATAGAAAACAATAATAATTAATCAGTAAGTTTTAGAAAGTGTTTTAACAACCTATTTTAAGCCTAAAAAGAAAGGATTAGATGTACTGTAAAAGTGGATAGTAAGAATTAAACAGTGCATCGTCATCCTTCGTCTTCAGAGTTGTTTACCAATTTATTTATAAATCATTTCGGCTCACGTTGTTGAATGGCAATCAGTACACACACACACAACAACAACAACAACAATGATACTACAAAAAATGTGAAAATATAACCAGTTACGCATGTATATGGAGCTTATGGATCGTAAGACTATAATTATTTTGAAAGTCGTTCATATATTTTTGTAAAATAAAGAGTATTTGAGTGAACAATTGTTTTCAATAACTTCTTTAAGCTCTATACAGTTAGAAATATCTAAATATTGGGACGGCGGTTCAATGAGTTAGATAATCCAGCCTTTAACCACTAAACCTCAGACATTAAAGAGGAAGAATATATTTGTAAAATCGAATATAAATTTATATTCGATAATTTTGATGTTTGAATAAATTTCCCTGAAAAAGCTTGGACCAGATTGTCATGTGAAATGTTGGATTTACTTCAAATTCATTTGTTAAGATTTCGCAAATACATTCTTCCTCTTTAATGTCTCACATCAACTCGGTGCCCAAATACTGTGAAATTATTCGATCAAATTAAGACGAAAGTTCGCATATACTAAACCATAGGTTTGAACTCCCACTCCACCCTACTTCTGTTTGGGGTATCGGATAGTATCACTTAGCTATTGTGCTTGAAGTGTGGCTCAAAGCCAAATGCACAAATTTGTAGCTGGTAAAAGAGTTGAAAAAGAAAACAAAACGAAAATATTGCATCATAACATACAGTTTAATTTGGGTATACATAACAAAGTTATCATTGAATTAGTTGGTGTTCTAAATTTAGAATATTGAATTAGAATTCCGAATATATCTTAAACATCTTCAAACTGTAAAAGATTATATTAAAAAGAATAAGAAATAGATAATGCAATATTTAGATGAAGATATCAATAAAATGACTACGTAAGAAAAGAATGAACACATCAAAACCCACAAATTCTTTTAAGACTAAAAGAAGGCGGGCGTTCTATTTCCGTACGCACAAATCTATCTGGTGACTTCTGGATTCACAAATAGAAAAACTAGTAGGAGAATTTAATGGACTCATAAGTTATTTATGATTTGTTCAGACTTTATAGTATCATATTTTTCCCCATAATCTCTATTTACAATAGCTGTCTTTTGATTGGCTAACAACAACGAGCTAAAATTGGCTGTAACTGTTTTAAGCTCTCCCTATACTGTTTTCCAATAAAAATGGAACAGTCAATTTGCTCTTTTATTGTTTCTATGGTTTTTTTGCTGTTGATTTCATCTTCCGTTCTGTCAAACAATTTTATTTATCAGTTAATGACCATGTATCTAAATCTATTCAAATCGATAAGCAAATGTTTATAGGCATCAATCCCAAGGTTGAACATGATAGTTTTACACAAATTAATAAGCAAATATGTTACTACCATTAACGTTAGTGGTAAATGTTTCAGCAGTATGCTGGCGATTACTTCCAGTACACAATTTTGTATTCAAAACTAAAATTATTCTGCTAACCAATAGTCTTAGAATGAACAAAACAATGTGACACTCTTGAAGAGGTGTATTAGAAAACATTTAATCCGGAATCTAGAAAGGTTTGTCATTAACCACCTCAGTATGGAGGATATTTTCATCAGAACATTTGTGTTATATGTTTCAAGTAGTTAAACAATTTTTCCACAGTTGAAAAAATTATTTAACGTTTAAATTTTACACAAAAAATGTTGATTTACTCTACGAAATACAAATAACCACTTGTTAGTAACTTTTCAACATACACAATAGAACAAAGAGCATAATATTAACATTGACCAGAGTTTTAAGGATGAATCATCCACTTATGTAAAACACAAAAGAAATAATAAAAACTAGATGCGTTTTTTGTATGGGCGTGAATATACGATAGAATAATACTAATATGTTTTTCTAGAAAGGATAGACATAGTGATAAGTTGGATGGAGTACCATTGTACACATTAAATGTATCATTTTTTCTTCACAAAGATGAATGAGGCTGTAATATTAGTATAGACAACTTGCACCATGATATATTAAGCAAGGTGACTCACTACTGAAAAACGACAGTCGATGACGAGACAGAAAAAGAAAACTCCGAAAGACATGCGAATGAATTACAACACTTATGAATTATTGTTCATATTTTATACACTACCATGTTTACCTAACGACAATATGATTTACGGCAAAATAACTCTTATAATGTTAGGTTTTAGTCAGACGATTACATCTGATAAAGGCAGATCACTAAAGAATTCTTCCATTGATACGTTTAAAAGAAAGTTGAAATATGTTAGATCCAATTATTGGGCACAATTTCCTCTTAGTGTTTTGATAATGAGTCAGAATCTGTTAAGATAAATATTCCAAGTTAATGTCTGGTCATAAGTGGCATACTACTACTACTACTACATCAGTTTCATAAAATGGGATAATTTACCACAGCACAACAATATTCACGTTGGATTATTAGCAAAAACTTAATGAACCGACATACTATCTTCCCACAAAAATACTGATTGGGTTTCGGTAAGATGGTGAAACACTGAAGCACTGACTGTGCGATCTGAGATTGACATGTTTAATTTTAAGTTGTTTTCAGATTGTACAGTTCTGAAAAAGTACAAAGTCAAGGAAAATCACCTATATGTTTTCTTTAAATGTAACATTAGTTTAAATCTATCATAGTGTATTTTAAATAATGCTGAATATGACTTATTTATTCTTTAAGAACTTATCAATAAATAAAGTATCACCTGATTTTTTCGAGTGTATTAGTTGAAGAGTAGATAATATTTCGTTCACCTGTACACGTTCATTATGATCCTAATCTAGAAGCGCTGGAGATAAGGGTACACGCATTGTTAAATTAGTTTATAATGAAGCTGAATATGCAAGCTCAATCACATCTCTGAGCCTTTTCAGACATCTTGTTTAATCAAAATTCTATGGTAATAATTTAAATTACTGTGAGATATGAATATACACGGTATTTAAACCTGGAAAATGTATACATTGAGAATAATTTTAGATATTGGAATACATTAAATCAGGACAACAACAACAAAAAAACAATGAATATATTGCCGAATATATTTTTTTTTAAAAACCCATCTGGGTTGAGAACTGTGGAAACGATACTTTTCAGTCTTGAGGCATATTTATTCTCACCACAAAATGAGATAGACCTATAAAGATTTTTTTCTTTCTACTCTGACAGTGAATTTTGTCACAAAATGACAATTGCTAAAGAATTATGGAAAATTAACAAGCATTAAACACTTGTTTCACTTGCTATTTGAGAAGCCATTCCTTAACAGTGTGCATTCATGACATGTAAACGATAAATGCTTGAACTGTTTCTATATGATGTTGAAGTGGTTACCAATAAAATAAAGCTAAAATTGAACATTCAGATTACACAATAAATCAAGGACAAGTAATGGTTGTAGTAATAGTAGTAGTCGATAATTTTCTTATTTTATATTTATTGCAGTACATGTGTTGTACACATCTGAATAACAGAAATAACTATTGTCCCAAAACTGGGCAATTAAAAAAATAGTATTTCTTAATCTCTTTTTTATTTACCACTAACATAACAACAAATAGATTATGTAGACGAAATGCTTTATAACCACAATATGTGATCAATTGTTACCGGAGAAAAATTCAAATTAGATGAAAAGGTATCGTGAAGTTAGAAAAGTAAATCACTAGATGCTCACCCAGTGATAAAAAGGTTAAGTGCTCGCCACAAACCTCAAAAGTTTTGAGTTCAGTCCCAGGTGGTGGGTCTGTAGATGGGTACTGTTGAATAGTGCCATATTTTATATAAATTTTGGTACAACAGACTACTCAGAAATTATTATGCGCCCCATGAATAAAGAGATATCGTTGTAAAGAAGGGAATGAAAGTGGAATCAAAAAAAGAATAGATGAAGAGGTCAGTCAGTCAGATACAACGTAGGACCAGGCACATATATGCATCGGTCCAATTTGCCACACCTCATTAGCACAAAAAGATGAACACCAAATTCATAAAAGTAGTTAATTCAGAGGTGGTAATATATAAAAGAAAGATTGCATACAAGGATATAGTACAGGAAGAAAGAATTAGTTCGTAGAAAGAAAGATATGAAGCGATTTTAATCTCTTAGTTTAAGGGAAGACAGGGAGTGTATACACCGACGCCATTGTGATCGATTCTGAGCCATGTCACCAAGAGTCTCCAACCATTGGTTACGAAAGTCACGCGGACCCCAACCAAGTAGTCTGCATCTACCAACATGGCTCAGACTAGAAGTTAGTGACTTTGGCACTGATGCCACGTTTTGGTTTGGCCGCCCCTAACTTTCTTCCAACCATCCCAACACCGGTTAGCATTGCACGTCGTGGTAATCGGTGTTCAGGCATACGTAACACGTGGCCCAACCATCTCAGTCGATGAAGATTCATAACCTCATCAACTGATTTACCATCATTCCCTAATACCCTGCGTCTAACCTCACTATTACTTACCCGGTGATCCCAGCAGACGCCAGCAATATTTCTAAGGCATCTGTGGTCAAATACTAGTAGCTTACGAGTGTCTTCTACTCTTAATGGCCATGTTTCGCTGCCGTAAATTAAAACAGAACGGACTGCCGCGCAGTATACTCGTCCTTTTATTGATAGACGGATATCTCGCCTTCGCCAAGGTGACGTAAGTTGGCAAAAGCCAAACGAGCTTTTCGAATCCGTGCTGAGATTTCGTCAGACACCAACCCATTAGGGCTGATCAGACTTCCAAGATAAGTGAAGTTGTCAACGCGTTCGACTACTTCACTCCCTATCCTTA